TGGCTGATAAATATGGCATGGACCCTTTTGTCATACGAGAAACAGCCCCAGAACATGAACTCTGAGTATCCCTTCCACCTCTCACGGATACAGCTCTTGACTACTCTCTCGTCTGCTTTTCTCCAGATTCTATAGCCGCCACGCCGGTGGTTGAGTACAACAGACGTCTCGTCTGTCCAGATGACATTCTTCCAGTCTTCTAATGTCCAGTCCTTATGATCAAGCGCCCACTTAAGACGAGCACTCCTCATCTCCTGTGTCAGTCCAGGCTTCCTCGTCGGCTTGGTCTTTCTGTATCCTGCTTCTCTTAATACTCTCCAGACTGTAGTGCGTGATATATTGACTCCTTGAAGACTGAGAGCACCAGCAACGTCAGCGCAGCTCTTCTCTCGTCCGTATCTATCACGTCGTACTTGTTGGATTATCTGCTCCTTTACCTTATCCGTCTGCTTTGAAGGTCGGCCAGAGCGAGGGGCGTCTTGTACGTGCTCTGGGAGGATCTTAAGAGGGAGAACGTTTGGCTCGAAACCAGCCTCAATAGCTCTACTATAGATACGATTGACCGTACGAGGATGAACATCAGTAAGTTCAGAGATCTGTGATGTAGACTTGCCAACAGAAGGTGACTTTAACGCCACAATTAAGGTGCGGGTGTAAGGATCAGTATTAGGAGACATTGTAACGATAGATACAGACAAATCGTACAGCTACTCAGCTCAAAGGTGGGAGTTGCGCCAAGAAGAGTTATGCCGAAGCGCCGAGATTAGCGTGGGACAAAACTTTTGTGAGGCACCTCCGTATATGTGTTTAGTTGGCCAGTGAGGAGGTCGATTATTGCAGGGTAGTGTATTAATCCAGTCGCTGACGTGTCGGATTCTCATATTCCAAAGCACGTGTTACGGGTCCTACAGATGATTCATCTTACATGGAAGGGGGGTGGAATGCTTGATACGGCCTAATTCTCGCGGCATCTTCCGCTTTCCCAAACTCATAACATGGAGTTAATATTGCAGGTAGCTCACTGAGTCCTAAACTTCCTACATGTGCGCTTCGTTCGTGATAAGTAATTCATCGGATAAGTCATTCATCGTCAGAGCATTATGCATAGCCCACTGTTGTTTTTACACAACAACAGCAAATGTCATCAGTAATTGTTATTGCTAGACCACTTGCAAATTTCAGGGTTATCTATCTCAACTGCTGCATATTCCAAGCAGTGAGGCTGCATATAAGACTGTATGAGGTCGTTGTGTTCTATATGAACTACTCATAGTTCAAGACGGCTCTTGAAGCACAATGTGCTGCCGGCCCAAAGATATGGTAAAGCATTAATTCGGCAGTCATATAAATCAGGGTTGTGAATCAAGGGGTAAAAAAGGGGATATTAGGAGTGGAAATACTACGTAGTAAGAACCGACGTGTATGTAATCACAGCCAGCGACATAAGGTTTGTGATATAAGCGCTAAGATGGAGCTACCCAGAATTGGTTAAGTCGTAGCTCTACTCTCCTCTGCTTGTAGTTCATCCCTTTTGTATGATGTTCCAGTTCACAATTTCCGATGAGATGGTAGCCAAGAAACGTCTCCCTTGGAACTAGCACAGTTCTGAGCATACCTCTTTGGTCGAGTGTTTACTGGCTTAAGGAACCTCATAATACTAGCGCTTATGAATATGATTTAGCCTAGCAAGCTGCACGCGGCTAGATTTGCTGACAGCCACAACTGACTCAAGAGCTAGTGCCTTGATAAAATGCTGGTCAGCATCAAGGGGCTGCTTGGAGGGATACAGTTTCACGCTCAAAGCTGCCTTCTGCATAGTCATGAACCAACACGAGGTATGTTTGCCTAGTATTATACAGGTACGGGCCAAGTTAATATCTCAAAGTAGAGAAACTTGGGCATCCGCAACTCAGGTAAATCTCGCGCGGAGTTGCCGCCCACCCACGGTCCTGAAATTGGTCATGGAACGGGCCGATAAGCAGATCCAAACGGTTCAGTGTCAAGCCACATCGATGGACCGCGTAGCTCTAGAAGCGTCGTATGGATGACCTCCACCGGGTCATATGTGCTAACATATCAAGTTTGTCGATCTCTATCAGAAGTGATACCCTTTCTCCTTCGCGATTCACTAGAAAATCATGTGCTAACATATTACCGTAATCATTCGCAAAGTGCGCCCAAGATGGTGTGATTACGTAAAGGTAGAGGCGATACCGGAATGTAATTCATTTGCACTTGGCGCTCACCAAGTATGTCGAGAAACTTTGTATCCCCATTGTATGCTATATGTCGTGTTATATCAACATCAGGTCATTCTCAACACCTCTCGTATGGCCGCCATACAGTGCGATAGGATCAACGAGGTGGCAGGTGGCAGGTGTCAGCTTCTCATGTACAGATTCTCTTGGATGCATACGGCTGAATGACAAACCTTATGATAAAGGGGTCAAGGTTTACGGCACCGATCTTCTTTCACTTTTCTCATCAAGTGACTTTCTAGACATGAGGCGTATCACTGTTCCACTACTACATCTCATCTGTTCGTACATAATTAAACTTTATGGATAAGCTATGCGTGTAGGCAAATTCGAAGCAAGTGTCTACGAGCGAGTGAGGCGGTCTTCACGAAGCTCCGTCTCATTATTTTGTCAGCTTGTATCCGGGAATACTTCGACGCACTATTACGTGACCAGAAATCTACGGGCATGCATTCTTATTGTCCAAAACACTGCGTGTGCGGTCAACCGAATAGAAATACGCTCTATCAAGCTCTCATGAGCTAGCAGCACGTTGAGCGAAACACTGCTGTTCATTCTGGGCTATACGCTAAATCAGGCTATGGGTGAGCCGGATATTTATTACATCAGCAGTGAAATCTTGCTTTGCAGCACAGAGAACAGGACTGGTGCGGAAGTCCGGCCATTATCCTGCAGTCCGCGGAGATCATGGGAGTCAAGATAGGCCCGTTGCTATTGTATGTGATATTGAATTGACTAACGGCACTACCATCTAAAAAAAAGGCAGTTTTCGAAAGAGAAGGCCGAGAGGTGGCAGCAGATGCCATGACTAGTGCGTGACTTTTCTAGTAATGACATGCTGTGACGATTCTGAAATTGGTCGTGTTTGTCGTTAATTTTTACGTGAGACTTTATCACCTGCAACGGGAGGTTTACATTACTCTTGCATTGCTAGCGCAACAAAGTCTTGTAGAGTTGGATTATTAACCAAGCAAGCACGAGTTTGTACAAGCCTGACATGCAGCTGGACCGCAACGCGTGATTTTAGCGCCTTCCCCGCATCCACCTTTGGCGCAGTCACATACTTATACATGTTCTCACTCCATCGTGCCCTTTCCGCTTCAGTCACTCCTTTCATCCACGCAAAAGTTACAGGCGCTGGCTGGAGATATAGATGCTGCCAACACCTGAAATGCATCGACCTTCATCGACACACTATGTGTGTCTCACATTCGCAGCCCTTTGAGGCAGTCAACAACTAGTCGCTGGACCGGGAAATCTTTCAGTGAGTGCCGTTATCTTCTGCTCGTTTGTTGTCCGCTGTTAATCTTGTTGAATAGTATGCATGTTATCTGCATGGCAACGCAACCCACCGAAATTCCACCTCAAGTCCTTGGCAGGCTCGTTGGATACGATTCAAGAGCGGTGAAAGCTTCCTAGGCGATCGAAGATTTTTCCAACATGCCGAGATCTCTGGAACCCGGGCTTACTGTACACACGTCCGTCACGTGAAATGCTGATGGCGATGACACGATAGCAGATGGCCCAGCAGGACTGGAGGCCCTCGAGTATCCCGCCACCGCTGCAATGCTCCACAGGCCCGCTGGATGTCACTCGTGCTCGTCCAGAACCCGGCGTTGCATGTCAACCCCCCCCATGGGCCAGGCCATTTTCGGCGGGTCGGTTCGTCATTAGCGTGGGTGCAGCGGGTTTTGTAGGTTGGCGCTACCGCAAAGTTCCCGGCAAACGGCCACACAGCCCGCGTGGCGTTGCTGCAAGCTGTCACCAAGGAACCAACCAGCCCCGAGACGCTCCCCGAGGGTCCTCAACGATGCCTATCATTGAGCAATAATATGGAGGCATGGCATGTTAGTCGGCGCTAGTGAATGACGTTATCGGCAGACCTGTTGGCACAGCATCAGGACCGGCAAGGTGCCGTGATGTGTGCGCAAGGAATAAGCGAGCCATGCCAGTCTCAGCGAGCCAAAATTCATACCCTTTGCCTTACCCCACGAGATCTGCTGGCGTGGCATATGGCAAGCCTGTCTGAATAAGTATCCTGTCGAGCACCTGTCAACCGCGAACCTTGTCCTCCATTTTTACCCCTCCATCCAAAACTTTCAGGCATGTCTGTCATCGACACCACCAAGGACCTATCAGCGCTCTTCACTCAGCAGGTCCAAGCTACCCCCGACTTGGTTGCTCTCGAAGACGAGAAGCACACTTACACATACCAAGAGCTCCACGACAAAGTCGCTGCCCTTGCCGACCGGCTGCGGGGCCATGGAGTCGGCCGCGACAGTCTGGTTGGCGTCTTGTTGCCGCGATCCGCCGACTATGTAATCGCCTGCTTAGCAGCCCTTCGTGCGGGAGGTGCATTTCTGGTTTTGGAGCTGGCTTATCCTCCCGACCTCCTTGCGGATGTTCTCGAGGACTCGCAGCCCACAGTGATCGTCACTGTCAGCGCTGAAGTCGGTAAGATCAAGGGATCCACACCGCTTGTTGTTCTGGATGAAACCAGTTCCGCTACAAACGGCCACGTGGAAGAGTCGGAGCTGAAGCCATTGCCTGACGATTCGGATTTGGATCGCTTGGCTTTTGTTGCCTACTCGAGTGGAACTACTGGCAAGCCGAAAGGTATCGCCAACCCCCACAAAGCAGCGGTCCTCTCGTACAACCTGCGGTTCGCGTTATCAGATCTGCAGCCGGGCGACCGCGTGGCTTGCAATGTCTTCTTCGTTTGGGAAATTATACGTCCACTGTTGCGGGGAGCAACCGTCGTGGCCGTTCCGGATGATGCGAGCTACGACCCACGCATGCTGGTCGACCTACTGGCCAACAAGAAGATCACCGAAACCCTCTTCACACCAACTCTTTTCTCTACTGTCCTTGCGCGTCACCAAGCACTGGAGACTCGCCTGCCAAATCTGAAAACTGTTTGGCTCAATGGCGAAGTCGTGACAACCGATCTTGCACGCCGTGGTATCAAGGCCCTTCCCAAGACCCGCCTGCTCAACGTCTACAGTGCGTGCGAGACACATGAAATCGCCGCCGGCGACATCAAGGACATGCTTGAGAAGCTCGACAAGGATGCTTCTTACTGCCCAGTTGGACCACCCATCATTGACAAGAAATACATCTACATTCTGGATGAAAGTGGCCAGAAGGTCGATGAGGGCGAGAATGGCGAGCTCTACGTTGGCGGGCACCTGCTTGCTCGAGGATATCTCAACCTCCCAGAGACGACGGCCAAGGCTTTCATCAGGAATCCCTTCAGTTCCAAGTTTGGTGCTAGGATGTACAGGACTGGCGACAAGGCGCGTCTCCTTCCCAACGGCCTGCTTGAAATCACCGGACGTGTCGGCGCCATGATCAAGATCCGTGGATACTCCGTGGTTCCGGGTAAGGTTGAAACCGCAATTCTCAGCCATCTAGCCGTCAGCCACTGTGCCGTGGTGCCTTTCGGAGAAGGCATCGACCGCCAGTTAGTGGCCTACATTGTACGCGACAAGAACACATCGGCAGAACGCCCGGAACTGGAGATTGACAGGACTGGCCGCAGCTCGACCGCCAGGCGCATGCTCATGAACTATCTTGCTCACTACATGATACCTTCACTCTGGGTCGAGATGGACAAACTGCCGACGAATGATGTTTCTGGCAAGGTTGATCTCAAAGCCTTGCCTCCCCCAAGACCTGCTTCGCCTTCAGGCAGTGCCCGCAAGTACGAGCAAAGTCCAATTACCATCGAACAGATTACCCAGATCTGGGCCTCCATCCTTAACGTCAGTACCAGCTCCATTACTCCAGAATATAACTTCTTCGATCTTGGTGGCCATTCACTTCTACTCGCCGACCTAGCTGCGCGACTGTCGAATACCTTTGGTTTCCGAGTACCAGTCGCACGTCTTGCCCAACCGGCAACGCTGAACGGACATTTGGACACGGTTCGTGCTATCCGGGATGGCCACACGGCCGAGGTGCAAGAGAACCTGCCAGCAGTATTGCGTGCCGACTCCGTCCTGGACAAAGACATTCAGCCGCAAGGCGCCAAAAAATGTGCGCTCAAGGACGCAAAGACGGTCCTTCTCACTGGTGTCACAGGTTTCTTGGGTGCTTTCCTTCTCCGTGATTTACTGGAAAGCACATCTGCTCAGATTGTGTGTATGGTTCGTTTCGCCGATTCTTCGCAAGACGATATTCCCGCTGGTATAGCTAGGATACGTAGGAACTTGCTGGACTTTGGCCTCTGGAGCGACAACATCATGGAGCGCGTGGAAATTCTCCCAGGAAACTTGTCTCGCAGAAGATTCGGTCTCGCGCCCGATACATTCAAGGCATTGGCTGAGCGCATTGATGTCATTGTTCACGCTGCCGCTACCGTCAACTTGGTGTACCCTTACGCGGCGCTGCAAAAACCAAACGTCGGCGGTACACGGGAAATCCTACGTCTTGCTGCCCAGGGCGGCGTGACGGTACAGTACATTTCTACCAACGGAGTACTTCTTCCTGCCAAGGGCCGGGAAGGGTGGCCCGAAGACACGATTCTCGAGGTTGATGATGTCGTCAAGCTTGCCGATGGTTATGGACAAACCAAGTGGGTCGCTGAACAACTTGCTCTGGAGGCTGGCCGAAGGGGTCTCCCCATAAAGATCCACCGTATCGGTACTATCAGCGGCCATAGCGAGACTGGCGCTGCCAATGCCTGGGATCTTTTGACAGCTTTGATTGTTGAATCCATCAGGATTGGTCACTACCCAGACGTCAAGGGCTGGCGCGCAGAAATGACACCGGTCGATTTTGTCAGCAAAGCCATCCTCCACCTCAGCAACCAAACCGAAACTGAGCAGACTATCTTCCACATTGGCGATCCGGATCCAGTAGATGTCAGCCAAGTCTTCGAGGAACTCAACGTACTAGGCTATCCCACCAAGCCCATGCAGTTTGAAAAGTGGATTCAGCTCTGGGACGACAAGCGAGGCTCTGTCAAGGGAGGTGACGGTGCTTTTACCGTCGATATTCTCCGTGGTGGTATGCCTAGCATCGAGTTCCTGAGAGATGTCGTTGTGCTTGACAACGCGAAGACGCGACCGCTTCGCCTGGCTGTAGAGCGCCCCAAGGTTGATCGCGTACTTCTAGAGACGTATACACGCCACTGGTATGCTCGAGGCTGGCTTCCAAAGCCACCAGCTCACCAAAATGCTGCGGGCGGCTCGGCTCGGCTGCCTCGAAAGGGTCCGCTCTCTGACAAGGTTGTTGTTGTCATGGGCGCCTCATCTGGTATTGGCGCCGCGACTGCCACAGCCCTTGCGCGAGAAGGCTGCCATGTTGCGCTTGCAGCACGGCGCCTCGACGCCCTTGAAGATCTCAAGAAGCGCATCGTAGTTCGGGAGGGCAAGATCATTACCCAGAAAACCGATGTCACAGACAAGAGCCAAGTTGAAGCACTCGTCGCTGCAGCAGAGAAGCAGCTTGGTCCAATCGATATTTTTGTCAACGTCTCCGGAGTCATGTACTTCACCATGATGGCCAACTCCTACACTGACCAATGGAACCAGACCGTCGACGTAAACTGTAAAGGTCTCCTGAACGTCATCTCCTCCATCGTTCCCTCGATGCTCAAGCGCGGAAAGGGTCACCTCCTTGCCATCTCATCTGATGCTGGGCGAAAGGTCTTCCCTGGCCTGGGAGTCTACTCGGCTTCCAAGTTTTTCGTAGAGGCCACGCTGCAGAGTCTGAGGCTGGAGACTGCTGGTACGGGGCTGAAGGTGACCTCTATCCAGCCAGGTAATGTAGTGACCGACCTGCTAGGTATGAGCACAGATCCCGAGGCCTTGAAGAAGTATGGTGAGCCGAGCGGAGCCAAGGTCCTGGACCCAGAGAATGTTGCTGAGAGTATTGTGTATGCGCTCAAGCAGCCGGAACATGTCAGTGTCAACGAGGTGCTTGTTGAGCCGAGGGACGAGCCAATCTAGATTTAGAGAATTGGGTTAGACATGGAGAAGTATGATTAGAAAAATATTTGGGTAGATGCATCCCATCATGGGTCATTGTACGATTGAGATTAGAAGAATGATTAGAATTTTTGCTGTAATTTACTGAATATTTTTTTTCTGTTCATAACTTGGATGATAGAAATATTTCTCTGCAGTCGTCAGTTCTTTTAGAAGATCGTTGCTGCTGCAATGAGGAATGCGAGTGACTTTCAAGTTGGCCCAGAGGTCAATGGAGGACGGCGTAACTCAATTGAACTTCATAAATGCATCATTAGCGCCATATCTGATTGAAATCTTGTGTTTGCTGAAACTCGGCATGAGTGGGAGATTATTGGAAGCCTAGGGTTGTAGAGCCAAAGTCGCGCTAGAGTCTTGGCAGTCGTCAATCAAACATTTCGCGGACGGAGCTGCTACACTTTGATTGCAACACCAACCCAACATGGCAAATACACCCAAAGCAGACGAAGAGACGGCGAATTCTACCGTGCCCGCAAGTAAAGACGAGAGCTCTTCCGCAACCGAACCAACACAAATAAAAACAGACGAAGCACCGTCGAGTACCATGGAAGTAAAGGAAACACCGGCGGAAAACGCCCCAGTACCCGAGGACTCTACCGCAAAAGAAGATGCGGCTCCAGCCTCAGCGACACCGTCAGACCCCAAAGCAGCTCTCGCCGCGCGAATGGCCCGCTTCAAAGCGCTGCAGGCGCAAAAAGCCAGCGGGCGCAAAGCCACCGAGCGCGAAGTCCGCGACGCCGAAGACCGCAGCGCGCGTCTGGCACAGCTCTCCAAACTCAGCGCCGCGCACGACAAGGCGTCGTACAAGCTGCTCAAGTCGGAAGACCCCGACTTCGAGCGCAAGCGGAACTGGGACTACACGGTCGAGGAGAGCGAGAGCTGGGACAAGCGGCTGAAGAAGAAGGCCAAGAACCGCGAGGGCGTCGCGTTTGCCGACTACCGGAACGAGGCCAACAAGGTGTACAAGCGCCATATTGGCCAGATGAACAAAGTAGACATGGAGGCGTATGCCGAGGAAAAGGCTCGCAAGCTGCAGTCACAGGTGTCGTCTGGCCTGCTGCAACTAGTGGAGACGGATGCCGGTGAGATCTACACGGTCGACAGCCAAGGCCGCATCAACACGCCCGTCGACGAAGCGTACAGCCACGACCACAAGCCCAGCAAGGAGGCGGTAGACAGGCTCGTCGAGGACCTCGAGAAGAGCGAGCGCGCCAGACTCAAGGCTAGGGCCGCCAGGGGCATCCGCGACGAACAGGACATGGGCGATGTCACCTACATCAACCAGAAGAACAAGCAGTTCAACGATAAGCTCGCGCGCTTCTACAACAAGTACACGAGCGAGATCCGCGATAGCTTTGAGCGCGGAACAGCTATATAAAGGAGTCATCAAACAGATGGCAGGAAGAAAAATTACGGTTGTGGTGAATCTATACCCTAGCATATTTTGTTTCAGTTTAAGGACCTGGCGTTGATTGGGTGTATGAGCGAGTTGCATTAACGTATGTGGCAAGCGAGCGCCGCAGGTAAGCGAGCGCCGCACCCCACCAAACCTGCGCACCTCTCCTATCTCAACGAACAATGGCTCAACGTAGCGCTACTCAATTAGCTTTAAATGAAGCAGATATTCAGCTTGCTATTTCTTCTATTAATCTCCATCAAACACAAAGTAATCGTCGCGCTGCTGCTGTCTACAACGTGTCTGAACGAACAATCCGCCGCCGACGCGCTGGTATACCTGCTCGACGCGATTGCCAGCCTAACTCAAAGAAGCTCACTAAGCTAGAAGAGGAGGTGATAGTTGATCATATACTTGATCTAGATCTACGTGGATTTGCGCCCACGTATGCTGCTGTGCGCGATATGGCTGATAAGCTGCTGGCTGCGCGCGGCGCTGGCCAGGTTGGGCAGAAGTGGCCAGCCAACTTTGTCAAGCGTACAGACAGTCTTACGACGCGTTTCAATCGAGCGTACGATAGGCAGAGAGCTCTATGTGAAGATCCAGTCCTAATCAAGAGCTGGTTTGAGCTTGTAGAGCAGACAAAGGCTAAGTACGGCATCTGTGACGAGGACGTCTACAACTTCGACGAAGCTGGCTTCATGATGGGCAAGATCACGACTCAGCTAGTCGTAACAGCGTCAGAGAGGAGGGGCCGACCAAAGGCAGTTGAGCCAGGCAATCGTGGGTGGGTAACGCTGATCGCAGCGATTAACGCAGCTGGCTGGGCAGTTCCGCCATTCCTCATCTTTGCTGGC